TGCTACACACAGAAATTACTCTGGAAAGTTGTGGAATCATTCCTAAAAAAATAAAGTAGCTGCATAAATTCTCATCCTAGATGGATGCTTTAAATGTGAGAAACAACGGACCCGCTGCTCTATCTGAACTCTCTCTGGAGGATCTGTGTTCACTCCATCAAACGGATGAACGGCTGAGTTGCTTCACAGGACTGAGCCGTGGCCAATGCTCTCTTTGTGAGCTCTGAGCAAGCACTCAGGGCTTGACAGAGGGTTCATTTTCTCTACACACACTTCAAATTTCGCCCTCAGTGGACCCATTTTTCAGTCTCTGAGGTAACCCAAAGCAACTAAAGTTCTGGATAAAACAGCCAACCTCCCCATAAGCTGGCAGGAACAGGGCCAGATAGCTTGGGTCAGTTCATGTGCAGTTCTGTAATTACAAAAGCACAGGAAAACATCATCCTGAGCTCCAGCGTGTGCACCGCCACAGAGCAACAGGAGCACTGAAAATGATCCACACCCAACACCGAGGCCAAGGCAAAGGGAGCCGACCACAACTTTCAGGAGAGGCTCTGCCTTTGCGATTTTAGAGGCTGTGCTTTCAAGTTCTGAGTCAGTCCATAATAGTTCACCTTCATAGAAATGTAGTGCAGAGGCAGTTACAGAGAATTCTAGGTAGACCGAGATTTAGAGAGGGAATCTCACAGGTCAGGACAACGGAGTAATTTCTAAGCAGGGCACAATTTTCACATGCAAAGGATGACAGGGAGAGAGCAGCGAATGCAGGTTCAACACGCCAGCTCTCACACACAGCCCAAGCCACTCCTTGAGGGTCAGTGTAAACCACACACGAGCAGCCCTTTTTCTCTTGTACTCTCAATAGAGCTTTTTAGGCACAAACGGTGAACTTAGTAGGTCAACTAGCAAAAGCAGAGTGGGGAAACTGCGCTGTAGTGACAGCCACGGGCAGGCATTTTGCCAGGCCTTTAACCAGTGTCTCCCCATGGGCCGGAAGTGGCAGACACAAACCCAGATCCTGACCTAGAAGTGCAAGCAAGCTCTTATGAAGTTCTTCCTTGCTGCAGCCTGCATAAAGAAACGACTTTACCAGAAACTCGTGTTGCTCAAGGACTTTATGCTCTTTTATCCACACCTCTACACCAAGTTTTGTGCAACTCCAACACACCTGTAGAGTGAGCACCAAAATGTAACAGGTTTCCGGAAGAGTCAGGAGGTGACAATGGAAGGGTCTTTATGGTCCAGTTTATTAGCAGGGGCCTTGAGTCATCGGGCACAAAATGGGAGTATTAAGCATGATTTATCAAGCACCTTCTATGATCACGGGGTACTTGCCTGGCAAAGGTGCTCAGGATGAGCAGACTGGGTGAGCAATCCTGGAGTGGGCAGCAATGAAAACGCGCATGTGACCTCAAACTGGGGTGCAGACTGGCCTCAGGGCTCTGAGAGATGTCAGGGAGGGAAGTTCTGAGAAAAGCAGAATGGCTGGCTAATGAGGGGGGCCAGGACAAGTCAGGTCAGTGTTCCTGAGTGAGGAGGGGCTTTCAGCTTTATAATGTGTGGTTTTAAATCCAGTTCCCAGTCAGAAACACCTGTGGCCAGCTGGACCACAGCACGGATGCTGTGGAGCAGGCCCTTGGCTGCCCTATGAACTGGCACTGCGTACTGTCAAGGCCAGAACTCTAAGAGAAAACAAATCCAGTTGGGAAGAATGTATTAAAATTAGAGCCATCTTCACCTCTCTTATGCTGAACAAACAAATCACTTTAAGATCTCTTCCAAAAGCCATTGGGAAAAAATTCATCTCCAAATTTCCAGTGTCATAGAAAATACATATACATTCTAGAGAGTGACCCTTTAGAACAATTAACAGACTCTTTTAATTGTAAAAAGTTATCAGAATGTATAGCTTCTCTTAATGATGTTCAACATAACAAGCCTCTGTAATTACCAGCCCACACGAATGCGGTTCTCATGAGTGCTACATAAAACCCGCACAATCACCCACAGGGAGACTGGAGGACTGAGGGGTAGGAACAGAGCCCAGCCAGAAATGTGCCGGGGAACTTAATCACCGTAATTTAGATTTTGTCACCGAGTCCCAGGTACAAGCTTTTTTATGCACTGTCAAGAGATCTCCACATTAATTGCCGTTCCTGTCTTCTGAGGACACAAACACTCTAATTTGCTGTGATTTCAGTTTCTCTCGCAATGTGGCGTGTGCTAAGTCCCCTTTGCCTCCAGAAGAGGAAGGCTGCGAAAGCTCTGATTATCCAGCTTGCTGTGCCAACATCAACACGCTCAAGTCACAAAGCATCTCATTTGCAGGAATCTGCAAACCAGGGTGACTAAACCTATGGGGGTGGGGGGAAGCCCTGCCACCCTCCCTGAAAGCCCACATTCTTCTCTTCCCTGCACCAAGTGACTTTCAATAGAAGAGTTACTTCCAAGTGACAAGTTCAATGATTCTGCAAGGCCTGTGTGAAGCAGAAGATTTAGGTAATCCTCTGAGGCCTCCAGGCAGCTCCAGTCAGCACACTGGACAATGCAAACCCAGGTGCCTCCTTTCCAGGGGACTTTGTGGATGGCCTGGAATTTGTCAGACGGTGAGAGTGGCCCCATGTTTTGGCTTCAGGGCCCCAGCTCTTTCCAAACATTACTCTACAGTGATGCCATGCGAGACAAGATGTCTACAACCTACTGTCCTGCCATCAGACTGGACTAGAGATAGATGCACAGATGCGACAGCCTGCTTAAAACCTTCCCAGGTATCGGGGCACTGGATCATGTCCTGATCCAGCGCTCTGCTATGGCCTGGGGAAGCAGCACAAAATGGCCCAAGTGCTTGGGCTCCTGCACCCAAGCGGGAGATCCCAAAGAAGCTCCTGGCTCCTGTCTTTGGATCATCCCGGCTCCAGCCGTTGCAGCCATTTGAGGAGTGAACCAGTGGCTGGAAGACCTTTCTATCTCACCCTCTCTCTGTCTGTAACTCTACCTCTCAAATAAATAAAAATCTTAAAAAAAAAAAAAAAAAAAAAAAGTGTCCTCCTTTCAAAACAGAGAATTGGAAAGCAAAGAAATGGGAGTTAAGCTAATCCTAGAAACCTGCTCTGAAAAGCATTCTAAATCAGCGCACAGTCTAAACACGGGCTATCGTTCTGTCTGGTGTGATTTTCGATGTTTATATTATCAGGCATCTGATGCCCAGCTTTCTGTTCCACTTTCCCAAACACCTCCCTTGTCCTAGTTGAATCCAGCATTCTGTTTTCCAAAGAGCAACAGTCACAAGATGCCCGACACTCAACAACACAGATTACTTTTCCAGTTTCATTTTGGAAATGAGCCATGGAGTTTCCAGACCTACCACAATCATTTCTGACTCCACACTGTGGTAGTGGCAAATGCAAACAAAACCTGAGAAGTGCTTTGTACCGCGGTGCCTGGAATTTTAAAAAGAAGGGGAGCTCAACAAGCTTATCAGTGAGACTACAGACCCAAAGCAAACCCAGAGCGAGTAGCAGAGGTTCCCTCTCATTACGGTCATCGGGTTCAAGGGCAGATTATGTGCCTGGATTCCCATTTAAAAAACAAACGTAGCTCAGGCTTTTCTCTTGGGGCATAATAATAAAAGAGACCCAGAAGGCAGCAGAGAGGATGAGTGACAACCGTGAGAAGCAAGAGGTAAAACCACTGCAGAGATCAGGAGGCCTAAAGAGCCAGCACAGGACGCCTCCTCCCTACAAGGAAGAATCTTGTCATACATGGAAATGAAGAACAGTGTTTATTTTGCCTAGTGGAAAGATATCCAAGCGTATAGGGGAATGTGTATTTTCTGATTTGAAAGGTGGATGGGGATGTGTCTAATTTTAGCTACATCTGCTTGACACCTCCCACCCTCAACCCATCACTGTCAGGGGCCTATTACCGAAAAAAATTTACCACACAAACATCAGGAAAGTGCTGTTCTCAGGAAGGCTGTGCAAGACACGGGCTCAGCCCTGGCACCACGCTCTATGGGTCTTTTACAAATATGTCAAGATCTGGGGCAGGCATTCGACCTCGCAGCTACTTCAGGAGCAGGCTGATCCCTGTGTCCCATACTCAAGGGCCTCGGTTTCCATCCCTAGCTCTGGTTTCTGACTCCAGCTTCCTGCTGGTGCAGACCCTGGGGGGCAGCCATGACAGCCTGAATGATGGGGCTTCTGCCACCCATGTGGGAGATCTGCACTGAGTTCCCAGCTCCAGGTTGCAGTCCCTAGCGCGGACAGAGCCCGGCTCTCTCTCCCTTTGCCTCTCATATTAAAGATATGGGTAAGATTTTTAAAAGTATCTTCAAGACAGTCTCAGGGACTGGAGCTGTGGCATAGCGAGTAAAGCCACTGCCTGTGGTGCCGGCATCCCATATGGGCGCTGATTTGAGACTGTTCCACTTCTGATCCAACTCTCTGCCATGGCCTGGGAAAGCAGTAGAAGAGGGCTCAAGTCCTTGGCCCCCTGCACCCACGTGGGAGACCCAGAAGCAGCTCCTGGCTCCTGGCTTCGGATTGGCGCAGCTGCGGCCAACTGGGGAGTGAACCAGCAGATGGAAGGCCTCCCTCTCTCTCTGTGTATAACTCTGACTTTCAAGTAAAATAAATGTTAAAAAACAAAAACCAGTCCAGTCTATAATATTCTCTATCATTACCTGAAAGCCAAAATCACAAAACTTCTCTGTTCTGCACCTACTCTGGTATGTAGTCAGGAAAGTTAAAAAATATGCATCAACTCCAACCATACAAAGAATAAATCTGTAAAATGTTCTAACATTTAAAATAAAGAATTAGGATTATAGGGCTGAAGTATTTTGCTGGCAAATCAAAGGCATTAAGTATACAAAAATGACTGTACTACTTGAACAATCTCCTTTCTTTACACATGGAGCGAAGCACGTGATGGGGCCAGGACACTGGACTGGGGCCAGGCTGGGCGTCATGGCAGCTGTGTGCAGGGCACTTACTTACCTGGTGTGGGAGGCGGCATCGTTGATGCTGAAAGTGCTGTTCTCCCTGGTCAGAGGGCTGGAGCCGGCCTGGCTCTTGCTGTGGATGTCCAGGCTCAGCGAGGACTCCGTTTTCCGGTCCATGCCAGGGCTCTCTGTCTCCAGCGTCCGATCTGCCATGGAAATTACCTCACTGGAGCTGTGCCACAGCGGTGCCACTTTCTCCTTGCCTGGCCCTGCGCGAGGTGACGACGTGGCAGCCCCCAGGGAGACGGTGCTGCCATGGCTGGGGCCGTAGGAAGTGGTGTCGATGCCACTGTCGGCGGAGGTGCCTTGCAGGTAGTTGTAGCTGTTGAGTTCGGACTCCGTGCGGTCCCCGTCGTACCACTTCTCATCGCTGTGGGCACTTGACGCGTTGCTGGAGAGGGTGTTGCTGCTGGAGTGGCTCGAGTAGTGGCTGTCCGACTGTGAGGGAAACAGCAGGGGTGTATGTGAGCGAGGAGCAGCAACCACTGTGCGCTGGGTGTCCCGCCAGAGTCCGGCAGGCGTCAGGTCTCAGTAATGACAGGTCACATGAGACAGGAGGTGCCCGGCAAACAGTGACTCGGGCATGGCAGAAGCGCACTGGAAACATTTTTATTTTAGAATACATTTTCTGACACTGGATTTATGCTGAAGCATCGAAAGTACTGAGATTATTTTTTTTCTATTTTTTTTTTTACTTCATATTACAATTTTTTTTTAACTTTTATTTAATGTGAGATTATTTTAATCAGGAAAAAATCTGCATTGTCATTAAAAGTTATGTCTTAAAATAGAAAGGAACTATTTCCAAAGGGCTGGATTCTAAAAGCCCCACCACACAGAGTAAACAGAAGGCTGAATCTTAGACTAAGTCCCCGGTACCCACTCAGGAGATGGCTGTCCAAGGAGGGTTGAGAGGTAACACTTCCACAGGGGCGCCGGCTTACTCAGTGGGGGAAACCAGTCATTTCTACAGTCGGTGGCGGGACAGCTAGAATCCACGTGCAAAAAACAGAATGAAGTTCAATCCCGATCACACAGGAAGACAATCTCAAGGAGGATGGAAGATGTCAACGTAAGAGTTAAACCTGTAAAACTCTTACAAGAATACAAAGATGGAAAGCTCCAGGACTGTGGATGATACACTTGTTTTTCAGATGTGTCACCAGTAGCATAAGAAATACAAGGAAAAAAAATAGGTAAGTTGGACTTCATCAGAATTCAAAGCTTTTGTGTTTTGGGTAGCCCAATTTAAAAATGGGCAAAAGATTTGACTAGACATTTCTCCAAAGAAGATGCACCTGTACAGCTGGCCCATGGACACATGAAAAGATGCTCATACCATCTAAACAAGCTAAAGCACAACGAGGCACCACTTCCTACACACCAGGGTGGCTGCAGACAAAAAGGCAGACAGCAATGAAGGTTGTTGAGTGGAGTATAAACGTGGGAGGGCCTGATGTGGAAGACGAGGTTGTGGAAGGGGCTCGTGTTGTGGCGTAGTGGATTGAGCTGCTGCCTACAATGCTGGCATCCCGTATAGGTGTCCGTTCAAGTCCCAGCTGCTCCATTTCCAAGCCAGCTCCCTGCTAATGCATCTGAGAAAGCAGTGGAAGATGGCCCAAGTGCTTGGGCCCTGGCACCCATGTGAGAGGCCCAGAGGAAGTTCCTGGCTTTGGCCTGACCCAGCCCCTGCTGTTGTGGCCATTTAGGGGGAGTGAACCAGTAGAGAGAAAAATCTCTAACTCTGCCTTTCAAATAAATGAAAATCTTTTTTTTTAAGTTTGTGGAAAATGGAATTAAAATATACTCTTATTTTGAAACTTATTTTGAAAAAACTTTTTTTTTTTGAGAGGTAGAGTTAGAAACAGAGAGAGGTCTTCTATCTGCTGCTTTACTCCCCAAAGGCCACAACAGCCAGAACTGAACCCATCTGAAGCCAGGAGCTTCTTCTGGGGCCCAAGGACATGGGCCATCTTCCCCTGCTTTCCCAAACCATAAGCAGAGAGGTGATCAGAGGAGGAGCAGTCAGGACATGAACTGGCGCTGATATGGGATGCTGGCATGGCCGGCAGAGGCTTAGTCCACTATGCCACAGTACTGGCCCCTGAAAAAATTTTTGAAATACAGTTTTTCTTTTTTTTTTTTTTAATTTCAAGATACTTTATTTATTTATTTATTTATTTTTTTGACAGGCAGAGTGGACAGTGAGAGTGAGAGAGAGAGAGAGAGACAGAGAGAAAGGTCTTCCTTTGCCGTTGGTTCACCCTCCAGTGGCCGCCGTGGCCAGCACGCTGCGGCCGGCGCACCGCACTGATCTGATGGCAGGAGCCAGGTACTTATCCTGATCTCCCATGGGGTAGGGCTCAATTACTTGGGCCATCCTCCACTGCACTCCCGGGCCACAGCAGAGAGCTGGCCTGGAAGAGGGGCAACCGGGACAGAATCCGGCGCCCCGACCGGGACTAGAACCGGTGTGCTGGCGCCGCAAGGCGGAGGATTAGCCTATTGAGCCACGGCGCCAGCTGAAATACAGTTTTTCATAATAAGCATTTTCCATTAATTTTTTGAAGAGCCCTCATATAGCCAAGGGAAATGAAAGAATACCACTATAAGAGTATCATTCTGGGGCTGGTGCTGTGGCATAGTGGGTAAAGCTGCCTGCAGTGCCAGCATCCCATATGGGCACCAGTTCGAGTCCCTGCTGCTCCACTTCTGATCCAGCTCTCTGCTATGGCCTGGGAAGGCAGTGGAGGATGGCCCAAGTCCTTGGGCCCCTGCACCTGTGCGGGAGACCTGGAGGAAGCTCCTGGCTTCAAACTGGCACAGCTCTGGCGGTTGTGACAAATTGGGAAGTGAACCAGCAGATGGAAGACCTCTCTCTTTCTCTGCCTCTCCTTCTCTCTCTGACTTTCAAATAAATAAATAAGTCTTAAAAATGATACTTTTTAAAAAATATTTATTTATTTGAAAGAGGAAGAGAGAGATCTTCTATCCACTGGTTCACTCCTCAAATGGCTGCAATGGCCAGAGGTGAGGTGAGTCAAGGCCAGGAGCCAAGAGCTTCTTCTGGGTCTCCCAAGTAGGTGCAGGGGCTCAAGCACCCAGGCCACCTTCTGCTGCTTTCCCAGGTGCATTAGCAGAGAGCTGGATCAGAAGTGGAACAGCCAGGACTCGAACTAGTGCAGACATGGAATGCCAGCAGCGCTGCAGATGGTGGTTTAACCTGCTATTCCACAGCGCTGGCCCCAAGGGTATCATTCTTACTAGTCAAAAAGTAAACAAACAAACAAAAAAAACCCAACACTCAAATGTTCGGCAATTGATGAGTGGATAAAAAAAGTGGGGCCTATCCACACAATGGAATATTTTCATCATGCAGTTGTATGACTTGTGTCATATGAAATGTGAAGGATCAGCACACCCATTGAGACAGACAGTGGGCTGGTGGTTGTTAAGTACTAGATGGGATGACTGCTCAAGGACACAGAATTTTGGCAGTGGTGGGGGTGGGGTGCAGTAACATATCCTGGAGTAAGATCCTGGTGCTCAAGGCACATCACAGGGAATATGCCATGACACACTAAATTGTGTCCTGCACATGGGTGCATATTATGGTATGTAGAGCTCTCCTACACAGAGGTTTAGATGCTTAGAACATTTTACAGAGTTTACCAGAGACAAGATTTTACCATATTTGGATAAAATAATATTTTAAACTAGAGGGAGGCAGGGAGTCTAGATACCTGTTAAAGACAAGAACAGACAAGGAACACATGTGGGTAGCTTTTGGTGGAGGCAGGAGCACACTCTCCACTGGCTGAGGTGTGGGCAGGAGGACAGGAGGGGACACAGCAGTTTGCGCTCACTGGGAAACTCTCTGCCCCAGTTCCTTCATGGGTGTTGCTCTAGTTTTTCTCAGTAACTTATCAAGCAGTGCCAGAGGGCCTTCGTTTACCTTGATTAGGGAAGTACTTTACCCATGGTGGGTCTGAACTGAAACGCAGTGAGACTGTAAGATGATTAAGGGATTTCTAGAGAACTAGAATGTGAACCACAAAGGTGATTTTAAAGTTTCTAGGAGGCACATTTTAAGAAGTAAAAACGTGAATTGAGTTTTTTTTTTTTTTTTTTTTTGACAGGCAGAGTGGACAGTGAGAGAGAGAGACAGAGAGAAAGGTCTTCCATTTTGCCATTGGTTCACCCTGCAATGGCCACCGCAGCTTATCCAAAGGCAGGAGCCAGGTACTTCTCCTGGTCTCCCATGCAGGTGCAGGGTCCAAGCACTTGGGCCATCCTCCACTGCACTCCCTGGCCACAGCAGAGAGCTGGCCTGGAAGAGGGGCAACCGGGACAGAATCCGGCGCCCCAACCAGGACTATAACCCCGTGTGCCGGCGCCACAAGGCGGAGGATTAGCCTACTGAGCCGCGGCGCCGGCCTGTGAATTGAGTTTTAATATCATGTTTTTACCTAGCCCAATCTGTCCACATCATTTTACCACCTAACAGGGAAATTACGGACAGGGCCAGAAAGCCACAGATGGACCTGTAAGCACTAGGGAACTGTGTCGCCATGGTGAGAGGACAGAGATGTGTGCAGCTGTGGAAGGCCAGAGAAGCAGCAGGGGCAGCCGTAAGGGAAGCTAACGCTGCAACCTTTCATGCTTGCAACCGTGTAATACATAAAATCCCCTCCTAGCACATCTCTGTCACGAACATTTCAGGACGAGTATGTGAATGACATGATCTCCCATCCAGACTTGCAGGGACAAGGGCACAGCACTGAGAAGTTAAACTTCATCTCAAAGCAACCACAGGGCCACGGCAGCAGAAATTCCAGGGCCCTGGCAGCCTGTGGCCAACCTCTGCCAGGATGACTTCCTCTCTGACCGGCTGGACAAACAGCATCGCAGCCTGACCACTTACACATCACAAGGAAAGCCGACTGCTAAGACTCTGTTAGTCTTGTAAGTTGACGGTTAACTTACATGCCCTTGTTTGTTTGGAGACAAATGAACCACTGGATCCTGCCGCATTAATCTCCCACTCGGGCTCTCTCGGAAAGCTGGCAGGACCTTGGACACTGCCGGGAGATGGCACGTGGGCTCTGGAATACAGCATAGGACATTATGGCGCAGGCAACAGACAGATACAGGCACGTGTTAACAAATGAAGATGGCTTGCCACTGCATCTTTCAGTTCACCGGCCAGCCAACTCTGAATGTCAGCAGTAAGCTTGTTAAGAATCTACACCATAGACAGCATGTCAGAAACTTAAGTGGCTGATGGATAAAGCTTGCAGCTGGTGACAATGTGTCACATCATACACATTAGCATAGCCAAGTACCACCAAACCAAGGGCCATGAACAACACAGCAAAGTTTGGAATCAACTTTCGGTTTGGGGGACAGTTTAGAATGTATGCATTAAACTTAGGAAATTCATTCACCGCAGTGTGGCTACCCTGGCTCGGTCTGCAATACCTAGACAGGCATGGATGCAATCGCGTGTTACTTACCATGACACTTTGGAAATATTTTACCTGTGTATTCATGCTGCTCGAGGACAAAAGAATTGAAATCCTGAGGTCCTCTATAACTGTAAGCTAAGCACAACAGAAAAGACACACAGCAGCTAGTTTACTTAAAACAATTGCTTCCTTTCGGACTCCAAGTGGGCATTCAAGCTGGGGTTCCAAAAGTCAGAGATAAGCCATTTATCCTCTAATGCACCCAAGCTAACAGCCACAGTTGCAGGCTTCTGCAGCTCCTCCCTAACTGGCAGAGGACAAGGTAGCATACTCCTTCAGTCTGACCCTCAACCATCTCCCAAAGCAGAGAGGCAGGAAAACAAACATCCATGGGGTCAAGAAAGCTGGACTCCTGTCTGCACGGTGAGTTGGGTACTGGGTTATGCCTGTAAGACCCTGATACCCAAAGACAGGCGGGCCTATCCAACAAGTAGTAACCTTCTAAACATTCTCATTTATTCTGTGATAAACCATCACAGAAACTTGTTCTTACAATCTGGGTGTAGAAAGGTCAGCCCTTTCCACACACAACAGTGTGCACTGAGTTGAGTGATGAACACCTAAGTGTTTTTCCTGGGACAGGACCCGCCTATTAGGAAGGCTGGCTACTCTTCTAGAGTGCTGGGATAGCAAACATGAAAAAAAAATGTACTTCAAGACTTGGATTTTGAATGGAGCAAAGTTACCACATGGATCTGCCACTCTGGTGAACAAGGCTTCCCTGGCAGGCTCAGGAGCAGGGATGAGAATGTCTGACCCACAGGCTGCACAGGGCCCACAAAATCATTTGTTTTGTCCTTGTCTAGGTAACAGCAGACAGACTCAAAATTCAATAAATCTGTAGCAGGCTAATTTTTAAGTTGATAATTTTTTATGGTCCATGAATGATGTTATAAATCCAAATGGCCCTTGGCAGAAAAAAGGTTCCCCACCCCTGCTATAGAGGAAACACATTAAAAAATTTTAAAAAATACCAAGTCTACACCTTATTAAGAGGATTGGACTCATCCATATTCATATTAGAGTCTTCCCTGTTAGGAGTGGGATGTCACTGAACTGAAGTGGATGCAAGGGGAGGGACCTGGAGGGAGGACTGTGTGAACGTGGACATGGGTCCAGGACAAAGCTTCTAATTACTCCTTCCAGTCCAGGGCTCCGTCTCATTCCACACGTGGCTTCCTGAGAGCGGGTAGGGAGCCGCTGCAAGCTGCAAACAGCCCCTCGTGTCATGCCCAAGAAGGGACCCTTTCACACGTGCCATTACCATCTATCTCAACAGCATCAAAATGTATGGGGTTAAAAACATTCCGTCCAGAGCAGAAAAGCAGAGCAGAATGTGCTCAGGTTTTCTGTGTTGGGGGTGGGTGGGAAGAGTGGGGAGTGACAGATGGCTTCAATAACAAGGCACATCTCACTGAAGTGACGGGAACAAAGCATAGCTGAGCATAGCTGCAGAACCCAAGAACTGCATTTGTCTTCACCAACTCCTGTCTCAGCTGAGTTGTCTCCCCTCTCTCCCTCCCCATGTTCATGCCTAGCACACTTACTTAGGCAAGCTCTTTAATTAAACACAGGACAAAATAATGAATTGGCAGAGAAAATCAGAAGATGGGACTTTGCCTGAAAAGTTTATCTCTTTCAGCCCTGAAGTTTACATGGATGGTAATGCTACTGAGAAGCTAAAGGAGGAAACAAGCAAAAAAACAAAACAAAACAAAACAAACAACAACAACAAAAAAACCAACCTGCAACAACTAGTCTTTGATTTATCTGTCAGCTGTGCAGACACCCAACCCCTGGTGCTGCTGTGCTGAAATTTCATCTTGTTGCACGGCCAAACTTTATTTTCATCCTGACACTGTAGAACAACACGTCTGCAGGGAGAGGGGCCGTGCACCAGAAATCCAAATGAGGCTCGCTAATGCAGACCTTGTCCATCCAGCTGTGCTACCCTGCTAAAACAGGTCCTCTGCTGACAGCTTAATAGCAGAGTGGAAAGAACTGGAAAGAAATGCACATGAGGGAGGGAGGAGATTCTAATGAGGCTGCACGTGTGACTGAACCGTAACTGTTATCTTCCTCCCACTTAAGTACATAGCCTGAAAAACAGCAGCAACCTTCAGGCTAGTAAGGCTTCTCTCAAGGTCCTTCCACTGGGCACAAACAAACTTGGGCGAAGAAAGGTACTCACACAAAAGTGGTTTGGTGGGCTGCTCTTTTCATCTTGGAGCTGAAAATAATTCCTACGTCCTATTTTTGTATTTGAGCTCATTTAACCTTCCATGACTTTTCTGTGGGGTCTTGCTTCTTGCCTCCATGTTTCCATAATCTCACAGGGAGACTGGATTTTAATCCACTTTTATTGACTAGGGCTGGCTTAGGATGCTCTGATACCCTCATCAAGAAGTGGTCGGCGTCACCTTGTGTTGAATGCAACATGCTTCTTGTGGAAACGACTTACCCATCTGGTCGACAATGCTGTCCTCACTTCTTTGCCAGCTAGGTGTGGATTTCCCGCTACCACTGATGTCCGACTGGGTATTCTGCCGGTCAATGGAGGCTGGGGATCTGCGGCTGACGCCAAACCTGTGGAGACGACCCCAGAGAACAGCAGAGTCAGCATCAGGAACCTCACCTGCAGTGCAAGGCAGTGCTGGATATCAGGAACTGAATTCCGATGACAGCCACTACCAGGCTCTGCTCACCAGTCTGTATATGGGCATGCACCCTCGGCCTGTGTGCTTGAGTGTGGCAATGTGCATGTTGAGGAGGGTGGGCATTCTGTGTCTGTGCAGGCACAGCAGTGCAAGGGCAGGGGCCAGCTGGACGGGGCTAAGATAAGCAGAGTTAAGAAACCAAAATCTTCTAGCCCTCATGTAGCCAAGTTCAGACTGCCATTTGGAGCTCAAGGAAAAGTTCTACAAGCTAAATGTTTCAGACTTGAAAAGGTTTATGTAAAACCTTATGAAAAACTGTGTACATCTCAAAATTCCTTTGCAATGAAATAACCCTATCTTCTAATTTCTACGTTTCCCACCAACATTTTGAAGGGCCCTCATATATACACCAAATGGCAGGTTTCTGGGAATTTGTTTCTCTCAGCGCAGCAATGCACTCATCATTCCAGCGTTCATTCTTGCAGCAAGGATCCTCTGAGCACTTGCTCTGCGGGCTGGGAAACAAAGGCTGCAATCATATCAGGCAGAAACCACTTTCAAAATGTTTAAATTTTAAATTGCCTTTGGGAAGAGCAATTTGGAAGTGGGTAAACTGGCATGTATAAAGGCAAATATCTGTTTCTGCAAAGAACATTTAGCTATTAAGTCAGTTTTATTTTCCCCTGTGTAAACTAATAATACTATATGCTTAATCAAAGCACGTGCCATGATCAGTGGTATCAGCAAAGTAAATAGTGAGTCTAAAAAAGGGGCCAGAATGTAGACTTCAAGCATTCGTATGAATGCTGATCTATGTGTGGCTGCTAGTGAATTCATGAGTAATCTATGCAATGAAAGACTAATGAGGGTTTGAATCAATTTGATGCATGTGAGGGGTGTCTTTATTTATTTATTCAAAAGGCAGAGAGCAGACAGAGGGAGATACAGACAGAGATCTCTCAGCCCCTGGTTTACTCTCCAGATGCTGGGCCAGACCAAAGCCAGGCACGTGAACTCAATCTTAGTCTCCTGTGTGGGTGGCAGGAACCCAACTACCTGAGCCATTGCTCCTGCCTGCCAGGATATGCATTAGTAGGAAGCAGTAATTGGAAGTGTAGCTGCGACTTGAATCTAGTAATTACGATATGGGATGTGGGCATCCCAAGCAGCATCTTGACCACGGCACCAATTGCCCACCCCACAGTAGGTGTCTTGCTTGCACAGACTGGATAAATCCATGGGCAGAACCAGCAAGCGCTATGTGGGGAAGAGCAGAAGAAAAGAAGCAGATGGCTTGGAGTCAAGTTCCAACTCTGGCAAACAACACAATTGAGCCAAGTCCATGTTGTTCAGATTCAATTTCTTTATGTGCAAAATAGCAATTCCATTATACAGATCCAGGCAGAAAAATCCATAGAAAGCATTTGCAAAGTAGAAAAGCCTGTAAGAATATCACCTCTCCAGTTACTTTTACATAAATGCTGTTCATTTACATACTCAATCACAAAGCTCACTAAAGCAAACTCATCTTATATACCGACAAACCCATTATTAAAAAATAAAAACCCAGGGGCTGGTGCTGTAGCACAGCAGGTTAAAGCTATGGCCTGTAGCACTGGCATCCCACATGGGTACCAGTTCAAGTTCCAGCTGTTCCACTTCTGATCCGGCTCCCGGCTGATGCACCTGGAAAAGCAGCAAAGGATGGCCCAAGTGCTTGGGTCCCTGCACCCACGTGAGAGACCCAGATGAGGCTCCTGGCTTCGGCCTGGCCCAGCCCCAGTCATTGAGGACATTTGGGGAGTGAACCAGTGGATCGAAGAGCTTTCTCTCTCTGTTTCTCCTAACTCTGCCTTTCAAATAAATAAATCCTTAAAAAATAAAAAAACTTGATTTATTAAAATTTCAGTGCAAGCGCTCATACAAAAGAAAATGATTAGGGATAGGCATTTAGCCTGGTTGTTAAGATGTGCACATTCTATGTCAGAGTGCCTGGTTCCATACCCAGCTCTAGCCCTCGAATCCAGCTTCCACGAATGCACAGCCTGCGAGGCAGCAGTGTCGGGTCAAGGAGTTCTGCCACCCACCTGAAGACCTGGATTGAGTTCTTGGCTCTCAGCTTCAGCTTCACCCATTCACAGCCATTGCAGGCATCTGTCTGTCTGCCTCTCTACCTGCCCTTAAATAACATAAACTTAAAAAGTTTCACAATTATGCTTTTTTGCCATCTTCTGCCTAAGCAGGATCCTCTATCAGGTCAGCAGAGCAGATATCCTCAAACTAACTTTTTAATTGTATTCTAAATCTGTACCAAATTAAGATTTTTTTTAAAGGCACTTAAAAATGGATTCTAATTTTGCTTTTACTTTTTGGTAGCAATGGAAACCCCAGCTAACTTTCTGAATTTAAAGCCAAATGCTTTTTTGGCTACTTGCTTTTAAATAAATGATATGGTAAAGCTATCTAAACTCTGCCTTGAAAAACATTTTTCCCAGTGAAGTTTTAAATTCACATGATTTATTGTAATGCCAGGGTATTAGGGTTGCAAGGATCCTGGCCTTGAGGAGCTCACACAAAACCTGTTCTAAATTTTACCCTGTGCCTCTTTTTAAAGAGCTTAATTGTGCCTCTGTTTGGAAAAGCACTTACTGGTTGAAGAGTCAGAGACCAGGCTGGAAACAGTTCTAGGGAATCACGTGGCTGCCCCCGAGACACAGTCAGCAACAGACCTCAGTCCACCCGTCCAGGGTGGCCATGGGGGGTCACTGTCTGCACGCTGCCTTCGCTGGCTGCAGCTGCTCTGTCAGCACATGGAAGCCCCTGCTGGACCATGCTGGGAGAAAGCCCTGGTGGGCTCCTCACTATAGCTGTTTCCTCCCGCGGCTTGTGCAGCTGCAGTCAGACTTCTCACACAGGGACTCCAACCTGCCCTTCTCCCAGCTCTCCCTTTGCCCTGTTAGTGCTCCTCAAAGTGCAGGACTCAAAAATCCAATCTCCAAGGAGGGTACAATAGGCCCTATGTCTTTTAAACAACGTGGTCTTTTAACTCTCTCTTATTCCCATCCTGAACTTGTACAGGTTATCTTTTATCCCCATCCAAGTAAAGCAGGCATTATTAAATGTCCTATTAAGTTTCCCCTCTTCTCGACTCATCTGCACAGTCTCAATATCCTTAGTGCTGCAGGGACCAGGCAGGCACATGTCACACGGACACAGGTGCAGAGCCCACCTGAGGAAGGGAGGCCACCACAGAAGCTTGCTATGTGTATGGACAGCCCTGGTGCGCTGCGCAACTGCTGTGATGTCATGCTCTGGGGCCTCTCACAGTGGACCATCTGTGAGTTTGCAGCATGGCACACACACTCAGCTCTGCAGCCAGCCTCGTCTGTGTCCGTGTCTGTGTCATGGGGTGAGCTGTACAGCAGCTGGAATCATTTTCCTCTGGGTTAGGGTGACTTAAGGATCAAACCTGGCCCATGAGCAATGCACATGACTGACAGGGGGCCATTGTCTCTTACATCACTGATAAAGACAAAAACAGCTCAGAGTCTAAAGGAAGACACCACTCGAGGGGGAATTCAAATAATCCATGGAAAAATGGAATTAACAGATAATTTATTTTGGTACAAAATAGTTTGAAATGTACGTCCTAGTGTTTTCATAATACATATTTTCTATGAAACTTCTTATAGTCATAGATTTCAAAGTTTTAGCAAAACAACCTTTTTTTTTTTTTTGACAGGCAGAATGGAGAGAGAGAGACAGAGTGAAAGGTCTTCCTTTTCCATTGGTTCACCCCCCATTGGCCGCTCTGGCGGCGCGCTGTGGCTGGCGCACCGTGCTGATCTGAAGCCAGGAACCAGGTGCTTCTCCTGGTCTCCCATGTGGGTGCAGGGCCCAAGGACATGGGCCATCCTCCACTGCACTCCCTGGCCACAGCAGAGAGCTGGCCTGGAAGAGGGGCAACCGGGACAGAATCCGGCGCCCCAACTGGGACTAGAACCCGGTGTGCCGGCGCCGCTAGGCGGAGGATTAGCCTAGTGAGCCGCGGCGCCGGCCGAAGATGGAATTTATAAATGGTTGTTTTTGGCCGGTGCCGCAGCTCACTAGGCTAATCCTCCACCTGCGGCGCCAGCACCCTGGGTTCTAGTCCGGTTGGGGCACTGGATTCTGTCCCGGTTGCTCCTCTTCCAGGCCAGCTCTCTGCTGTGGCCAGGGAGTGCAGGGAGGATGGCCCAAGTGCTTGGGCCCTGCACCCCATGGGAGACCAGGAAAAGCACCTGGCTCCTGGCTCCTGCCATCGGATCAGCGCGGTGTGCAGGCCGCAGCGCGCCGGCCGCGGCGGCCATTGGAGGGTGAACCAACGGCAAAAAGGAAGACCTTTCTCTCTGTCTCTCTCTCTCACTGTCCACTCTGTCAAAAAAAAAAAAAAAAATCCATCTTCCACAGACTTCAAGTGTCCACCTATCATCTTCTTGTAGAAGAAAAGAGCAGTCCCCTGGTAACCTCACTAACAACAGGGCAAACCCTCAAGGCCAGGACCAGCAGAGGTTTGGTTATTAGGCAGCACGCAGAGTGACTGCCACCTCTCAGCAAACCTGAGCAGCACAGGCACTGCCATCATGTTCTGAACACCAATATTCACCAAAACATCCATGTCTCAAGGCAGGCTTTGGGAACATGTTAAAACATATCACAGAAGAAAACAGCGTGGTTTTTTTCCCTGTTAGCTCATTTATATTTTATCACTGTACTAACACTGAAGCCGCAGTGAATTTTTAGTTTTGAAATCAAGGTAGGCCATTAAAAGCCACTAATGAAAACAAGAAGTAATTAGTTGGACCTGGGGTGTGGTACAATAACATGTAATTCATAAAGCTCTTGCAGGGACTCATGAATAAGAGCTAGAAGTTTTTTTCTAATTGTCACTGAAGCAATTAAAAAAGAAATGTGCATTTTAGACAGGCTACCAAGGCAGTCCTGGGGGAAGACAGAGCGGTGGGGAAAGCACATTTTATGGTGGTTTCATTACCTACTTTCTGCTAACGTAAACACTTAGCAGCACCAACAACAATTATCCTTAATACATAAAAAATACCACGCTGAGGGTATTATTAGTAAGCACACTTATTTTGCGACATGGTGGAATCTCAAGAATGTAACCAAATCATGTCTGTCTGCTAAAAATGCGTATGGGGAAAATGCAGCATAGAAACACCAGTGTTTATGAAGATCTCGCACTGCACTTTCAGGTGGTGCCCGTTCTCCATGGAGAGCACCCGCAGGAAGCCTGCATGGTCCCCGCACTCCTGCCCGGGCAGGGCAGCCTGTGATGTTTGGCAGCTAATTACCTCCTAGCTTCAGACTTGCCAGTTTTGTTCCCTCACAGTAAAAAAGGCCTCTGAAATCATGTCCATTTAGTTTTTTACTTGGTAAGTCTTATCAGAAGCAAACTGTTACTTTTGGGCATTTAGTGTTTACAAGAAAAAGGAAGCACAACAAAAACGCACAGGAGACTTAAAGAGTGAGACAAGTAATTTGAAGTGCCCGTGAGCATCGTTTCCCCTGTTAGCAGCAACACAGACTGCAGGGCCAGTAACTTCCTGTGGCGCTCACACCCAGAGGAGACAAAAGCCTCCCTGAGGAGACAACGCACGTTATGGAGGAGCTAAGTCCTCTGCAGAGACGCAGGAACGCCAACTCCCCAACAAGGGGCTTAGCCGCCATGAGCGCACTTTCTCATCTGGGACAGCAACCACACGCTCCCTTCTGTTCGTGTGTAAGCTGGGCAAGGCTGGCCGAATGGAAATCCCTTTACACGTCTGAGCACAGACGAGAGCCGGCCATGTCCCTGGCACCATGCATCAGGAGAGACGGTATACCTACCCTTCAGGCATCGATTTCTGTCTGTAAGTGCCCCCACCAGAGCCAGTCTCACTGGATGAAGACAGGTTGCTGGGCGAGTTACGGCACTGGGATCTTGCTAATGCCATGGATGAGACCGTCACATAGATGTCCGAACCAGGAGACAGCCTGCGTGTACAAATCAAGAATACAAGGTCAGTGACTCACAGGGAAGATCCCAAGGGCAACACATGAGGGATGTCACATAAATGTGACAAAGGCAGCGACTTCATGAGGTAGTGAAACTGAAGTGTGCAAAAGAAACCTCCCATGAAACTGCGCCCTGGAGGAACAGCTGGGGCCCTGCTTCCGGGGGCTGGGGGGCAGTGTACAGAAAGAACAGGGTCGGGGAAGATCCAGGAAACACGGATGCTTCCCAAAGCTGCCCAAATTCAGCGGACTGAGTTGCTTGTGTCATCTCCTAGGGCAGCAGAGGACAACTGAGCCCAGGTGACAGCAGCACAGCAATGCAGGCTCACACGTGACCCGGTGGCCAGGCTTCTACATCCTGCAGTGGAAGTTCCACAGCATGCCGGCCTGTGCCACCACCAGCCTGCCCCGCGTGGACGACGTGCTGGCCTCCCTGCAGGTGTCCTCCCACAAGTGCAAGGTCATGTACTACACGGAAGTGATCGGCTCCGAGGACTTCAGAGGCTCCATGACCAGCCTGGAGTCCAGTCACAGCGGCTTCTCGCAGCTGAGTGCCACCACCACCTCCTCCAGCCAGTCACACTCCAGCTCCATGATTTCCAGGAAGTGCTGCAGCGCCGGTGCCTAGCGTGCAGAGGGGACGCCGCGTCTCTGTGAACAGTCAGCCGGCGGCGCCGTGGCGCAGACTCTTGGCACCCTCTAGATAGGCGATAGCTCTGCAGGCGGTAAACGTAGTCGTGTGATCCCAAGACTCGAGACACGGGGAGTTGTAACTGACCCTACTAACTCGATAGCCATAGATTTTGTGTGCCGTGTGCACAAAGTCCAGGCAGCGCACAAGGGCTCTCTTGAAAGAAAAGTAGTTTTTATACCAGTTAAGGGACTGCCTTTGTCTCAGATGTTGATGCAAAAAATTTTGTAGCCAGTTCCACCTCCTCCATTAGTGCACGAATTCCTCTGACCCCTTCAGAGAGGAGCCCACCTCCTCCCGCGGAGCACCGGCCACCAGCTCGGGACCCACACCACGGTGTGCTCCTCACGTCTCCGTGGATTCCAGGACAGCCCTTGAGGGGCCCCGGGCAGCCTGCAGGAGCGCCCTGTGTGCCGCACCGGAGCGGGCGCAGGTGGCTTGGGAGGGGCCCCGGACACTCCCCAGGGCGCCTGGAAAGCAGCACCGTCATTCAATGCCACTTGCTCCTCCCCGAGCAGAGAACATGGTGAGAGCAGCATCTTCTTTGCGGGCTTGTTTCTGAATTTTATCAAAGTCCAAAGTAAACAATGCAATTTGTTATTTAGTGTTTATAATTTTGGTTGGTAATAGCATCAACAATATGAAAAGCCACCACATTAAAAAAGCCCAAAACTTCAGATGCTGAGTTTCATTAGAATGACTGAATTCAGATAATGTCTCAGTAGAGGTGGGCCCCACACAGGCCCCTAAAGTATCAATTTCTAATGTTTGGACCCTTCACCCTGCCAGCTGACTGTCTCAGCAGACCCCGGGGCTTTGGGAGCAGGACAGACGCATCTGTCACCTTCCCCCTACCCCCAGGTATCAGGGCAACCACAGGTGCCGTCAGTAGATGATGCCGACTATCGTGACCGAGTGTCAACTAACTCTTAGAGCAATATTTCACTTTAGAGAGAATGCTGGCACACGTAACTTGGCCAGGGAAGGTAATTTCTACTAGCGAGCTGAGGACATGGAATCCAAGTCATTTACAAGGCCACAATAAGCTGAGACTCTTGATTTTAAGTCCATTGTACTCTGCTAAACACTGCAGCCGCCCGGAGAAGACCACGCTTCCTTTTCTTAACAAGACAGTTTGCAGGGATCTGCACAGTCCAAAGACTTTGCATGTAAAGCTTTCTTAACTCCAAGGCCCAGTTCAGAAGTCCTAGGACAGAACCTGGCTCACTGGAGTGGCCGTGTGCTAGAGAACCGAGGGGCTTTTGCAGCAGGCAGACAGGGTTCCAGGTGCAGGAAGCTGACAGAAGGGTCAGCAGAATGAATCTGAGAAGCTGTTCTAACATCAAACAGCGAGGACTCCAGTAAACGCATCTGCCGAGGGTCCACACACTCTCCGCCCAGCTCCCACACATCTCTCCGGAGCACCCTCCCCAGGGACCCTGTCAGACCTCCTGGCTGTGAGCAGGATTTTCCCCAGCACCTGATACTCCACATCTGTTCCCCTTGCCTTGGCTATCACAAGCTAAACATCTTGAAGCCTTCTGTTTCTTCCCCTTTCCTCATCTTCCATAGCCAACTGGCCTGACCCTGAGCACGGACTGCGCCAGGCTCATCTTGAGAACACAGAGGCTTTCTGCTCTCCAGCATGCTGGTCTCCGGCTTCCCTCCCCTCTGGTCTGCTCAGTCCAACAGTGCCTCACTGTGTCCCACCTTCTAGACTCTCTCCAACCCCTCGACCCAACGCCCAACCATCTCCCCTTAAAGCCACCTGACTGCTTGACGGTCTCTCCAAAGCTTCCCTTCGCCTTGGGATAGAGCACCCAGTCCCTGGCACTATCACTCAAAGTGTGCAGCCAGCTCCTCCAACCCCACGCTCCACTGTGGACACACTGAGGGTTCACCATGTTGATGTGGCCACCATACTCACTCCTGTGCTCACCTTGCCCCTGCCTCGAACGTCTTTCCCCACTTTCCACTCACATGAAATCCTTTCTCCAAGGCCCAATTCCAGCATCCTATCCCTGAACTCCCAGTCTGAGCTCTGCCACAGCACCGGCATCGTGGCGCATCCCACACTGCGGCCATGTCTGTGTGTCTGCCTCCTCCAGATGGTCGTAGGGCCAGCACCGGGCCCTGTTTTTTTCACAGCTCTGGTGTCTACTGCATGTGCTCTGGGTGGAGGGGCCTTGCTAGCAGTGCGTAAACTGGGGGCCAGAGGGGGCTTCAGGACAAGAACCCACAGTTACATCAGAGGTCCCAATCACAGTGAGTCCAGATTAGCTGAAAAACTGATGGTCACTGATAACACAGTGCCAAAGCTTGTGGACCAACCACAGAAAATAATTGTAAGACGTTAATATGCTCTCCTAAGTGCAAGAAAAAAGGGACGGGGCTACAGATGGTAGAGCTGTGTTAGGCCCAGACACCCCTGTGAATAGCATCACAGTGTATATGCAGTGGAGTTACTGGGAAGAGCTGGGGTGCTGGGATTTGGGGAACATGAAGAGAAGCTAGGAAAAGAGGCAGAGTTTCTAAGCTCCTCTCATTATCATCACCACCCTGTAAAGCAGCAGCTGATATCTGACTACTGTCTGCCTTTTCACACCACAGCTGTAGTGTGGGAAACATGGACTTTCACAGATGACCCAAGGCCTGTGCTTAGGTGTCCCTCTGTTAATTTGAATAAGGTCTACCTCCGCATCTGCTGCTTCCATCATCCGCAGTCTTATTACTGCTACACAGACGAACCCACGGGGGCACCTTCGATGGGCGGCTGGGTCTGCAAGTGGGCAGCTATGGAGGGGGCAAAGCTAGTGAAACACTAACTCATTCCTATTTTGGGTGATGTGTTTTGATAAAGGCAAAGATCATGACATTTTGGGTGCCACAAAATGGAAGTGCCCATATTCTTTCCACCAAGGTAGCTCTCAAATTTCCCACTAATTATTCTGAAGTCAGTGGAAGGGGACTGGAGTGGAGGAGGAAGGGGAGGAGCAGGTTATGGAAAAGGAAACCAAGAAAGGACTGAAGAAGTAAATGGATTCAAATGTAACAAAAGACCACCCTTCTGCCTCAGGAGTTTGGCGTTTATATACATCTAATATAGAGAAACTTCAAATATAGTTTCTTCTTGTATCTGCTTTGATAGTCTTACTGTGAAGAGGAGGCGGTGTTACAGAAAAACAGGGAGAAAGGAGATGGTAGTAGAATGTTCTCAGAGTTGGGGCCAATGTAACATCTGGGAGCCCGGTAGGTTTTAAGACCATTTCTGGGTAAACAATACCAAAGAATCACATTGATGTTGAATGTTAAGATGTTTATACTCCTATGAGGAAGTAACACAACGATTCTATAGCAAACGCCAAAAAATGCCTCTTCTATCTGTATTTAGAGCTTGTTTTCTTACCCCGTTCTCCAGCACACGCATTAAGCTAAAATACCTCATGTTAGTTCTCAGCCTCAGCTCTTTTATTTGGCAAATGTATCAGAAAATTCTATTTGGTTACTGGAGTTATCCCAATGTGAAAAAATAGCATTTCCAGAAGGCCGGCATTCATCCCCATCCCTTTTCTGCATCTATGTGACTCAATAGTGGCTTTGTTTTCTGACTGCTCACAAACACAACACACATACTGATGGAATGCCACCCAAACGCATTTAGCGCTCTGGACGCACGCAGCGGGGGCAAAGAACATTCAGAATCAGCCCTGACTCTGATGACTTACCGTTCTTTCCAAACACTCTGGGTTTGATATCATCACACAAATATTACTTGAGAACAGGCCTACTCAGGAAGCAGGAGGTGCCATGTGCCTGGGGACTGGCAGTCCGTTTTGCCGAGATGGCCCAGAGCTCACCATTACTGGAAGCTGGGCTGGTCACTGTCCTGCCACTTTGGAGAGCAGCTTTGAGGACGGGAGCAGAAGCCCCTCTTGGCCCACAGAGGAAGCCAGCGTGAGCACCCGGGGATCACTGCTGGCCGCATCCACACCTCACGACTGCAATCACTGGGTCCAGGGACGTTAGTGCAGAGTCCCGAATCTTCCCTTCTGACGTAATCTAGATCTTTCTGCACTAATCTTACAGAGCCCCAAGTGTCAGATGTCAATGCCTACACAGGCTTAGAGAATGAAGATGAAAACCTCTTTCAAGTGCTGTGAGATCTTTCAGTTCCAGGGAATGCAAGCAATAATCTTTTTAAAGAATGTTCTTGTTGACATCAAAAAGGAACTTTCTAAACGCTTTGGCATTAATCTTGTAAGACTGTCTCTTCTCTAAGTGAGCATTT